AACTTAAGGGATGTGGCGCAACTGGTTGGGAGTCAGCTGCATTAAAAAATCACCACTGACCAAAAGGTCATGCGTTCAAAGCCAGCCCGGGTCAGAGTAAGCTCCCGACCATTTGTCTAGCTTGCTGTCGACCTTTGCAGCCTGAAAGACAGTTGCATCTGTCAAGTAGGAAATTTAGGTACCACTCATGCGGGAAGGCTAATTTATAGGGCTGGGAAACCACGGAAAAAATTGTTTCTAAACTCGATTCGTTTTTAGGGGGTTTTTGCGTTTCGGTTTTTAAAAGAATTCCGAAATTTTTCTCTAAAAAAGTTCGATATTTACGAAATTTCGGAAATTACGAAACAATTTTGAAACAATAACGAATTGATTCGTTAATGCCGGACGCGATTGCGCAATATGCTAAAAAACCCTCCAAATGGGACAGGGGGAACTTCTGAAGCTTCCCTCTCCCTCTGTTGTTGACTGTTGGTGTGATAATTTATTTTTTTATCACTGATAAAACAAACAACAACTATAAAACTTGCACCAGACATACGGAAATAATAACGAAATAATAACGAAACGATTTCGAAACCATTTCGAAACAATTATGAAACAATACGAAATAAATTTTAAAAATTCGTTTCGATTTTTAGTTGCTCCTGAATGGTTCAATATCGGATCATAAGCTACTTTAAATACGAATTCTTAACGAATTACGAAATTAATGAATGAAACCACCCAGCCGTACTAATTTAACTAATTTATGATGCCATAAACCTCTCCAGCAGCGTGCAAAAGAATAAGGAAGTACTCCATTGGCATCACAAGTGACGGTGAAGCAACAGCTCCCCCGGTGGCTGGAATTCGAAGCATACCCTCACAAAGCTGGAAAGTTAAATAGCTTCTGTGTGTCTGTCTATATATGTTGCCATGTATATGTGCATTGTGATCTGCTCTGAGTCCTCTGCAGAGTGAGAAGGGCAGAATATAAATAATGTAAATAAATAAATAAACAGGTTGAAGAAGGTGAGCCATTCACAACGAGGCTGATGTCAGAACCCAGACGCCTTTAAAGAGCCAAACACAGGGGTAAACTCAAAACAACGGTTTATTAAGGCAACAAAAGGACTCAGAGAGACTTACTTCAGTGCCTCTGGTCAAAACTTAAAGTCTGTAGCAGTTTGCAGCTCAAAAACTTAACTTGGAAAATAATCCGGATTAAACTGACATATAATCTGGGATAAACAAAAGTTCAAGCAAAACGCCCCAAAATCACACAGTTCAAAGTAGGCAAACAAACAAAGAGCTGTGAAGAAAAGCCGTTATACAAAAGCAGTCCAAGGTCAAGGAAATTCCAGAAGAAGTATTCAGAGTCCAAAAGGCAGCGTTGTCGCCAAAACAATCCAAGGTTGAAGAGAAGGGGAAATCCGCACTTACGAGAATCCAAGCCAGTCGATACGCAGAGGAAACTGCAACCTGCAGTTCCAGGACCCAAGCCCAACAAGAGAAGCGACAGCAGCAAAACCCAAGGCACGTAACCAACACTTTGCCTACTGCAAAGTTCCAAACTTCCAATGCCTTCATTTATCCTATAACTCATCATCTGTTGATGAGCTGCCCTCTGCCCTTTCCTCATTGCTGTCAGCTGTCTTACCCATTACAGCTGAGCACCAACACCCACCTCTCCAACTCTTCCACCACTTGTCAAGCCTTAGGTCTCCCCATGATTCCCTGGTATCACCAGACTGCCAATCCCCAGAGAACCCTTCAAAAGTATCATTGGACGTGGGTTGCATGCACACATTCCTGACTTCTTGTACTTGAGTCCAATCCAATGGTTCCCCTTCGTCCTCACTACTCCCAGACCCATTACTTCCAGGAAAGCCCATAAAATCCTCCTCCTCAGTTGGAGCAGTAAGTATGTCACGGATCCGTTTCCTCTGAAACTCCTCGTCTGACTCTTGCTCGTGAGTAGTCCTATTTACACCTCTACTCCCATCTCCCTCCTCCTCCATTTCACTTTCTGAGAAGCCTTTGAAAGAGTCTTTGTCTGTCGGTGACATGAATGTTTCTCTGATTCTCTTTCTTTGTTGCTCTTCATCCAACACCTGAGCACCTCTCTTCCCTCTTCTGCTACTCCTACTATCAGTTGTAACATTGCCAGTAGACTCAACTGCAACAGCTGATGTCCCTGTCTGATGACGAGAGGGCAGGAAGCATGTGTTCTCTCTCTTGCCCACATTTTCAAGGAGGTGGCCCATGTTGAGTTGCTTCAGCATCAAACGGACAAGGAAAGGATGGAGGAATGGAGCATCACCTTTTATTTTAGCGCAATAAATATTTGTGGATAGGAATCAGCTTCCTCGGACCGAAACCCACAAAGCTGATGCTCCATTAAAATCAGTCTCAACGGTGCCACTTGGTTCCTTCCTTGTGCCTCCCCCACTTTCCATCGCATTTGCCCAAATCCTTCCACTCCTGTGTTTATCAGAGCCAGCGCTGTCTCTTTCCGCTCTAAATTAGATCATTATGTCAGAAACTGGATCAGATCAAAAAGAGAAGGGATTAAGGCCATTATTTTGGAGAAGCACGGAGCTAACCGAGGAGGGGGTTGTCTGTCGGCAAAGCAATTTGGTGAAACGCTTTGCTCCAAAGCCGGGCTTTGATTCTCATGCAAGAGTTCATGATTTATTTAGAGCCACTTTGCTAACATTGTACGTGGAAAGGTCTAAGCAGACATGCATAAAATACGGTCCAATGAGGTGCCCGCTGCCGCTTAATGCCAATGGGCTTGGGCAACACTTTGGGGGAAAGCGCTGGTCGCAGCAAAGCCGGTTGGGAGGAATGGCCACTCTACCTCTGGGTTGGCCACAGCAGGGGGCTTTCAGGCGTAGGCAGCCCCCAAGTGACAAATGAGATGGGAGAGATAGATCGGGTTAGTAATAATAATAATAATAATAATAGGTTCTTGTGGGTTTTTTCGGGCTATAGAGCCATGTTCTAGAGGCATTTCTCCTGACGTTTCGCCTGCATCTATGGCAAGCATCCTCAGAGGTGTGAGGTCACACCTCTGAGGATGCTTGCCATAGATGCAGGCGAAACGTCAGGAGAAATGCCTCTAGAACATGGCTCTATACCCCGAAAAAACCCACAAGAACCTAGTGATTCCAGCCATGAAAGCCTTCGACAATACAATAATAATAATAATAATAATAATAATAATAATAATGTCAAAGGCTTTAATGGCTGGAATCACTAGATTATTGTGAGTTTTCTGGGCTGTCTGGCCATGTTCCAGAAGCATTCCCTCCTGACGTTTCACCCACATCTATGGCAAGCATCCTCAGAGGTTGCAAGGTCTGTTGGAAACTAAACAAGTGGGGATTATATATCTGTGGAATAATGTCCAGGGTGGGAGAAAAAACTCCGGTCTATTTGAGGTAGGTGTGAATCTTTCAATTGGCCACCTCAGTTAGCATTTAATGGCCTGGCAGTTTCAAGGTCTAGCTTCTTACTGCCTGGGGGGAATCCTTTGTTGGGAGGTGTTAGCTGGCCCTGATTGTTTCTTATCTGGAATTCCCAATTGAAACATTCACACTTGCCTCAAACAGACAAAGAGCTCTTTCTCCCACCATGGACATTATTCCAAAGATATATAAACCCAATTTGTCTACTTTCCAACAGACTTCAGAACCTCTGAGGATGCCTGCCATAGATGTAGGTGAAATATCAGGAGAGAATGCTACTAGAACATGGCCAGATAGCTTGGAAAACTCACAACAACCCAATACTCCTCCTCCTCCTCCTAATAATAATAATAATAATAATAATAATAATAATAATAGGTTGCTGTGAGTTTTTCAGGCTGTATGCCCATGTTCCAGTAGCATTTTCTCCTGACGTTTCACCTGCATCTGTGGCTAATTACATCCTCAGAGATTCTGCTAGCAATGAAGCAAGTGGAGTGTATATATCTGTGGAATAATGTCCAGGGTGGGAGAACGAACCCTCGTCTGTTTGAAGCAAGTGTGGATGTTGCAATTTGCAAACTTGAATAACATTGCGTAATGAAGTTTGCAAAGTCAATCAGTGAGGGTATGGGCATAGAAGTAGCCTGGTGTCTGTTGCCATACATACAGACACATATGAGATACAGTTTCATAGTTTTGGAAGGGACCCCCAAAGGCCATCCAGTCCAGCCCTGTTCTTCTCTGTGAGTTGTTTGCAAGTCGGATATTTGCTTCTGTGTGAGGAAGAAGGGGAGCTGAAGAGAAGCCAGCCGTCTTTGCAATCCCATGCTCACCTGTATCGTAATGCACGACCAGGTCCTGGCAGTGGTTGCCACTCTTCTCTGGCTGGAAGTCAATGGTGAATTGGGCTGTCTCCCTGATGCCAAGGGTTCCAATGGAGGGCTCGGCAGAAAAGGGCCTGGAAGGCACAAAATGAAAATACATACATTGTGCTGACATGCGCTGGGCCTATAGCAATTGTCTTTTAAAACAGGACGTGCTCTTTGTGCCCAGCAGAACGCCGGGGTGCCTCGGCTGAGAGGCCCTGTGGATTTTCCTAAACAAAGTCTTTAGAAACTTGGAAAGTTTAACAAAGTTCTTTATTATTGCTTAGATCTTCAACAAAACACACAAATTCTTCTTAACTTGCCCACAAAGGACAGGCAGCTTGCTTCGTGAACTATTTCTTTCTTTTACAAGGAAAACCCTCCGACCCCTCCCTGGGCAATCTGTCTTTAGGCTGGCTGGCGTGGGGCCTTACTCCCGGTTCCAATTTGCTTTTTGGGTACCCAAGTAAACCTTACCAGCCAAAACTTTAGAGATTTTCCAGCTGGAGACCTTTGGATCTGTAAAACTGTTTTCTTCAGAAGCTTTAGGGCTGTCTTCCCCAGAGGCTTGTAGAGCTGTGAGGCTGTAAGTTCCCCAGCCAGAGCTTTGAGAACTGTCTTCCCCAGAAGCTTTGGGACTATTTTCCCCCGGAGCTTTGTAAGAAACGGAGCTTCTCTACAGGTGGGAAAAGCTCTCACGTCCTGTAACTGAGCTTCAAACTGTAAGACTGAACTAAAAACTTTCTTTTGCCTCCCAGAACCCTGGGGAAAGGGGCGGAACTAAAGAACTTAACGATGATAGGCAGGTGGCTGGTCCTATGTCTGCCCTATGGGAAAAGCTCTCACGTCCTGTAACTGAGCTTCTAAACTGTAAGACTGAACTAAAAACTTTCTTTTCCCTCCCAGAACCCTGGGGAAAGGGGCGGAACTAAAGAACTTAACGTTGATAGGCAGGTGGCTGGCCCTATGGGAAAAGCTCTCACGTCCTGTAACTGAGCTTCTAAACTGTAAGACTGAACTAAAAACTTTCTTTTCTCTCCCAGAACCCTGGGGAAAGGGGCGGAACTAAAGAACTTAACGTTGATAGGCAGGTGGCTGGCCCTATGGGAAAAGCTCTCACGTCCTGTAACTGAGCTTCTAAACTGTAAGACTGAACTAAAAACTTGCTTTTCTCTCCAGAAACCTGGGGAAAGGGGTGGAACTAAAGAACTTAACGATGATAGGCAGGTGGCTCGCCCTATGGCTGCCCTATGGGAAAAGCTCTCACATCCTGTAACTGAGCTTCTAAACTGTAAGACTGAACTAAAAACTTTCTTTTCCCTCCCAGAACCCTGGGGAAAGGGGCGGAACTAAAGAACTTAACGTTGATAGGCAGGTGGCTGGCCCTATGGGAAAAGCTCTCACGTCCTGTAACTGAGCTTCTAAACTGTAAGACTGAACTAAAAACTTTCTTTTCTCTCCCAGAACCCTGGGGAAAGGGGCGGAACTAAAGAACTTAACGTTGATAGGCAGGTGGCTGGCCCTATGGGAAAAGCTCTCACGTCTTGTAACTAAGCTTCTAAACTGTAAGACTGAACTAAAAAACTTTCCTTTCCCTTCCAGAACCCTGGGGAAAGGGGCGGAACTAAAGAACTTAACAATGATAGGCAGGTGGCTGGCCCTATGGCTGCCCTATGGGAAAAGCTCTCACGTCCTGTAACTGAGCTTCCAAACTGTAAGACTGAACTAAAAACTTTCCTTTTCCCTCCCAGAACCCTGGGGAACGGGGTGGAACTAAAGAATTTAACAATGATAGGCAGGTGGCTGGCCCTATGGCTGCAGCCTGGAAGGAACCACCCAACTGCAAAATGCATGGCCAAAACAAACACATGCATAGAAAGGAAATTTAGGCTTCTGGTACAGGTGTACCAGCACATACATGAAAGGATGTGCTGTTTTGGATTAAAGGCAAGTCAAGGCCAAGGAAAACGATGGGATATGTTACCCTATGGGGTGATCTTGTGATTCTATGAATCCCCTCATTTAACTGTGGTCTAAATGCTGGCCTGGCTACCTCTGTGTGTTGATCTGGTAGCGGGCCTCTCGGTTGCCGATGTTGCGCACCAGCAGGGTCTTCTGTGTGTTGTACTTGACCGGGCAGGTGGAGAAGTTGATCTGGTCCGGGAAGTCCAGGATGCCTCGGGCCCCGAGGGCGCGGATCGGGACAATGAATTTCTCCCGTTCGGTGATGCAGGTCAGCTCGTGGAAGTAATCCTACACCAAAAGAAGGATGGAGAGAGAGAGAGAGAGAGAGTGCAGTGCGACCTTCCTACCTGTTGCAACTCAGAGTAAGCTTCACCTTGCTTCCAAACACCACCACACAAGAGCTGTAGTTTTATAGTTTATTCAGGAGAAAATCCAAGTCAAAATAAAGACTAAGCATTGCAAAATTCCAAAGATTAAGGATAAAAGCAGAATATAGTTCCAAAGATCTTCAGGTAAAAACAGGAGACATTGGCAAAGTTCAAACCAGAGTCCCAGGTACAAGCAATGAAACAACTGCCCCATGAATCACAATGCAAGAAATCCCAAGCGTACTGCTTTCCAGGCTAAGGTTATTCCATGAAGCTTTCAGGCTAGTAAGCTACGTTGAACTGACGCTTTCTCAGAGTTTCCAAGAGGGCTAAATATCTTTCTAACATGAAAACATTAGGCTCTCCTCATCATAAAAGCATTGCGACGACCTTTCACCGAGCTGGCTTCTCGTCTGCTGGCCAAACGAGAACTCCGCCTGACCTGGAGATCAAGATGGGCTTGCCGGGTCAAGTCACTATCTACACTTTCAGTATCAGCCTGGGAATCATAGAATCATAGAATCAAAGAGTTGGAAGAGACCTCATGGGCCATCCAGTCCAACCCCCTGCCAAGAAGCAGGAATATTGCATTCAAATCACCCCTGACAGATGGCCGTCCAGCCTCTGCTTAAAAGCTTCCAAAGAAGGAGCCTCCACCACAGGCACCTGCTCGCTATCTCCTTCGTTAAAATTCCTTTCTGGGGGGGGGGGGGGTTCTGTGTGCCAAGTTTGGTTCAACTCCATCATTGGTGGAGTTCAGAATGCTCTTTGATTGTAGGTAAACTATACATCCCAGTAACTACAACTTGCATATGTCAAGGTGTATTTTCCCCCAAGAAGCACCTCAAGAGCGCCCCTGGGCTAAATCAACTATACCGCGAATGCTTACTTTGCATAATGTGTTGAGCCGCCCCTGTGGGGATCAAGCAGTATCCAAAGGACTCCTCAATGGTGGGAATCTGGGAATCTCTGGGAGGGCTTAAAGATTGGGGGTGGGCATTATGGGAATGGAATTGGGAGGTGGGTGGGCTGGTAACTGGACCCATATAGGTCCTTTCTAACTTGTGGAATTGTGCAATATAATCATTCTAATTTGGCCAGCACCCTAAACTGACTCAGACATGACCTCGACCCTGTTAATGGGGTAACATTAGAAAATGTAGACCATTTCCACTCCCTTGGCAGCCACCTCTCTACCAAAGTCAACATCGACACCAAAATACAACACTGCCTGAGCTCTGCGAGCGCAGCATTTTTCTGAATGAAGCAGAGAGTGTTTGAGGACTGGGACATCCGCAGGGAGACCAAGGGGCTTGTCTATAAAGCCATTGTCCTCCCAACCCTGCTCTACGCCTGCAAAATGTGGACTGTCCACAGACGTCACATGCAACTCCTGGAACGATTCCATCAGCGCTGCCTCCGGAAAATCCTGCAAATCTCTTGGGAAGACAGGTGGGAAAATATCAGCGTGCTGGAAGAAGCAAAGACCACCAGCATTGAAGCAATGGTCCTCTGCCATCAACTCTGCTGGACCGGCCACATTGTCCAGATGCCCGACCACTGCCTCCCAAAGCAGTTGCTCTACTCCGAACTCAAGAACGGAAAACGGAATGTTGGTGGGCAGGAAAAGAGATTGAAAGATGGGCTCAAAGCCAACCTTAAAAACTGTGGCATAGACACTGAGAACTGGGAAGCCCTGGCCCTTGAGCGCTCCAGCTGGAGGTCAGCTGTGACCAGCAGTGCTGCAGAATTTGAAGAGGCAATAATGGAGGGAGAAAGAGAGAAACGTGCTAAGAAGCACTGCCTGAACATCAAGCAAAAAGTGGGTGCTGGAAACAATATCATACGAAAGCTGACTGGCACAACCTGGGGATCACAACCAGACACAGTGAAGACATCTGCCCTTGCGCTATGCTACTCTGCTGCTGAGTACGCATGCCCGGTGTGGAACACATCTCACCACGCTAAAACAGTAGATGTGGCTCTGAATGAGACATGCCCCATTATCATGGGGTGTCCGCGCCCTACACCACGGGAGAAATTACACTGCTTAGCTGGTATTGCATCACCTGACATCCGCCGGGAAGGAGCAGCCAATAGTGAAAGGACTAAGGCAGAGACATCTCCAGCTCATCCCTTGTTTGGGTATCAGCCAGCATGTCAACAACTTAAATCAAGAAATAGTTTTCTAAGATCCACAGAGACACTCACTGGAATACTACAGCAAGCGAGAGTCCATAAGTGGCAGGCTCAAACCCAGCACACCTCAAGCCATGGCTGATACCAAATGAGAGACTCCCTCCTGGGCACACAGAGGATTGGGCGACTTGGAAGGTGCTGAACAGACTGCGCTCTGGCACCACAAGATGCAGAGCCAACCTCAAGAAATGGGGCCACAAAGTGGAGTCCACGACATGTGAGTGTGGAGAGGAGCAAACCACTGACCACCTGCTGCAATGCAACCTGAGCCCTGCCACATGCACAAGGGAGGATGACCTCCTTGCGGCAACACCAGAGGCACTCCAAGGGGACAGAGACTGGTCAAAGGACATCTAATCAACTACCAAACTCACAAAGTTTGTATTTTGTCTGTTTGTTTGCTTTGTTCTGTTAGAAATGTAATATAATTGACTGGTTGACCTGACACGACAAATAAATAAATGGTCAGAATCACTGGGATGTTGTATGTTTTTTTGCGCTCTATGGTCACATTCCAGAAGCATTTTCTCCTGACATTTTGCTTCCATCTGTGGCAGGCATCCTCAGAGACCTCACAACCTCTGGGGATGCTTGCCACAGATGCAGGCAAAACGTCAGGAGAGAATGCTTCTAGAACATAGCCATACAGCCTGAAAAACCTACAAGAATGCATTTCTAATTTTTTATGTTTGAATTGCTATAAAAGTACACCTGATGTTGTTTATGTTATTGTTTAGGATTTGATCTGTTTCTTATGTTGGCATTTAATGTTTGCCTATTTTCTGTTGTAAACCGCCCTAAGTCTCCTTGGGGAGATAGGGTGGTATATAAAGATTGTTATTATTATTGTTGTTGTTGTTGTTCTGACACAAAACACAGTATGTCACAGCAAATGAGACCTATATGCTGGATTTTGTATTATTAGTATTTATTATTATTATTATTGTCTTTACTATGTTAGACCCAGCTTCTGCCAACCTAGCAGTTCAAAAACATACAAGTGTGAGTAGACCAATAGGTACCGCTTCTGTGGGAAGGTAAGGGCACTCTATGCAGTCATGCCAGAGGCCACATAACCTTGGAGGCGTCTATGGCCAATGCTGGCTCTTCATCCTAGAGATGGAGATGAGCACCAGAGTCCCAGAGTAGGGCATGACTAGACTTAATGTCAAGGTTTGGAAACCTTCACCCTTATAGTATGTGAGCCATACTTGCAACAAACAGCAAATGCAGGGGCTTCTTTCCACAGGAAGGCTTTACCTTTTGTTGCAGCTCTTTCCATCATTCCCAGCTCTCTCCAGCATCCTCCAGTTCACCCTCCATCCTCACATCACCTGACCCCAACTTACTCTCTTGGTGTCTTTCTATACACCTGCATGATGCAATGTCCCATGCATGCACTCATTATCTCCTACACCTGATGCAAACCTAACATCAGGATTCCATTCTCCTCCTGCTGTGACTCCGCACTCACAACACTGAAAGGAACCCAGCATTTTGGCTTCAGAATAGGTCAGTATGTTCTAAAACTCCAACAGGAAGGGCCTTGCTAAACTACAAGCCCTGGGATTCTGCAGGAGAAGGCAGCAACAGGGTTTCCAATGGGGTTTGTGTGCTGACACACGCTGGGCCTATATTTATTTATTTATGTATTTATTTACTTTATTTCTATCCCGCTTTTCTCAGCCCTCAGGCGACTCAAAGCGGTGAACAACATCAGTACAAAATATCACAAAACAAGTATAGGGCAATTAAAAACAATTATCACATAAATCATTAACATCAGTATAACAATCATTAGCGCCTCAACAGTAAAATCAGAATCCAGTCTCGTCATCCATTATTCCGTATTCCTATGTTCAATTACACTGTTTAATCAAATGCTTGTTCGAACAGCCAGGTCTTCACTTTCCTCCGAAACGCCAGCAGGGAGGGGGCCAATCTGATATCTGCAGGCAGGTTCCACAGCCGAGGGGCCACCACTGAGAAGGCCCTGTCTCTCGTCCCCGCCAAGCACGCCTGTGATGCAGGGCGGGACAGAGAGCAGGGCCTCCCCAGATGATCTTAATGTCCTAGTCGGTTCATAGGAGGAGATGCGTTCAGAGAGGTAAGTAGGGCCAGAACCATTTAGGGCTTTATAGGCTAAAACCAGCACTTTGAATTGTGCCCAGTAGCAAACTGGTAGCAAGTGGAGCTGGCGCAACAGAGGAGTTGTATGCTCCCCGAGTGCCGCTCCTGCTGGCAACCTGGCTGCCGAGCGCTGGACCATTTGAAGCTTCAGAGCAGTCTTCAAAGGCAACCCCACGTAGAAAGCGTTGCAGTAGTCTATGGATGTAACCAGAGCGTGGACTACCGTGGCCAAGTCAGACTTCCCAAGGTACGGGCGCAGCTGGCGCACTAGTTTTAACTGTGCGAATGCTCCCCTGGTCACCACTGAAACCTGGGGTTCCAGGCTCAGCGATGAGTCCAGGGTCACACCCAAGCTGCGAACCTGTGTCTTCAGGGGGAGTGCGGCCCCATCCAACACAGGCTGTAACCCTATATCCTGTTCGGCCTTGCGACTGACCAGGAGTACCTCTGTCTTGTCTGGATTCAATTTCAATTTGTTCGCCCCCATCCAGACCGTCACAGCGGCCAAGCACCGGTTCAGGACCTCGACAGCCTCCTTAGTAGCAGGTGGGAAGGAGTGACAGAGTTGGACATCATCTGCGTACAGATGACATCGCTACCCCGAAACTCCGGATGATCTCTCCCAGCGGCTTCATGTAGATGTTAAACAACATGGGAGACAATATTGAACCCTGAGGAACCCCACAAGACAATGGTTGTGGGGCAGAACAGGTGTCTCCCAGCAACACCTTCTGAGATCGACCCTCTAAGAAGGACCGGAGCCACTGCAGAACAGTCCCTCCAAGACCCATCCCTGCGAGGCGCTCCAGAAGGATACCGTGATCGACGGTATCGAAGGCCACTGAGAGGTCCAGCAGCACCAACAGGGACACACTCCCCCTGTCCAGCTCCCGGCGAAGATCATCTACTAAGGCGACCAAGACTGTCTCAGTTCCATGTCCCGGCCTAAAGCCAGACTGCGCCGAATCCAGATAATCCATGTCTTCCAAGAATACCTGGAGTTGTGAAGCCACCACACGTTCCAGGACTTTGCCCAAGAAGGGGAGATTGGAAACTGGCCAATAGTTGTCGAATTGAGTGGGGTCCAGTGATGGTTTCTTCAACAGCGGTTTTATTATAGCTTGTTTTAAGCTTGCTGGAATCTTGCCTTCCCGAAGGGAGGCATTCACCACCACCTTTACCCACTCGGCCAATCCCCCTCTGGCTTCCTTCAAAAGCCAGGATGGGCAGGGGTCCAGGATGCATGTGGTAGGCCTCATTCCTCCAAGTATCTTGTCCACATCCTCAGCAATTGTCTTTTAAAACAGGACGAGCTCTTTGTGCTCTTTGTGCCCAGCGGGACGTCGGGGTGCCTCGGCTGAGGGACCCTATGGATTTTCCTAAACAAAGTCTTTAGAAACTTGGAAAGTTTAACAAAGTTTTTTATTATTGCTTAGATCTTCAACAAAACACACAAATTCTTCTTAACTTGCCCACAAAGGACAAGCAGCTGGCTTCGTTACATCCCGTATAGACTACTGCAACGCTCTCTACGTGGGGTTGCCTCTGAAGACTGCCAGGAAGCTACAACTAGTCCAATGAGCGGCAGCGAGACTACTAACAGGAGCGGGATACAGGGAGCATACTACTCCACTGTTGCGTCAGCTCCACTGGCTGCCAATTAGCTTCCGAGCACAATTCAAAGTGCTGGTCTTGACCTATAAATCCCTAAACGACTCCGGCCCAATTTACCTGTCCAAACAGATTCTCCCCTATGAGCCATCAAGGCTGTTAAGATCTTCTGGAGTGGCCCTGCTCTCAGTCCCACCTCCTTCGCAATCGCGGCTGATGGGAATGAGGGACAGGGCCTTCTCGTGGTGGCCCTTCGGCTATGGAACTCCCTCCCAATGGAGATTAGATCTGCCCCTTCCCTCCTGACTTTTAGAAAGCTGGTAAAATCGTGGCTCTTGAATATGGCATTTGCAGAATGATTATTGAGTCAATAACTGCTGACCACACTAAAGTCGGATTGTGATGAATTTGTGATTTTACGCTGACTAACTGACTTTTTGTAATTGTACAATCTGTATTTTAATGTATTGTATGTATTAATGTATCGCAATGTTTATTAAGTTTTATCCTATTGTATCTGAATCTTTTGTTGTTAGCCGGCCTGAGTCCCTCTTTGGAGGTTGAGAAGACCGGGTTATAAAAGTTCTATATAAAATAAATAAATTCATGAACTATTTCTTTCTTTTACAAGGAAAACCCTCCGACCCCTCCCTGGGCAACCTGTCTTTAGTCTGGCTGGCATGGGGCCTTACTCCCAGTTCCAATTTGCCTTTTGGGTACCCGAGTAAACCTTACCGGCCAAACTTTACAGATTTTCCAGCTGGAGACCTTTGGATCTTCAGAAGCTTTAGGGCTGTCTTCCCCAGAGGCTTGTAGAGCTGTGAGGCTGTAAGTTCCCCAGCCAGAGCTTTGAGAACTGTCTTCCCCAAAAGCTTTGGGACTATTTTCCCCCAGAGCTTTGTAAGAAACGGAGCTTCTCTACCGGTGGGAAAAGCTCTCACGTCCTGTAACTGAGCTTCCAAACTGTAAGACTGAACTAAAAACTTTCTTTTCCCTCCCAGAACCCTGGGGAAAGGGGCGGAACTAATGAACTTAACGATGATAGGCAGGTGGCTGGCCCTATGGCTGCCCTATGGGAAAAGCTCTCACGTCCTGTAACTGAGCTTCTAAACTGTAAGACTGAACTAAAAACTTTCTTTTCCCTCCCAGAACCCCGGGGAAAGGGGCAGAACTAAAGAACTTAACGATGATAGGCAGGTGGCAGGCCCTATGGCTGCCCTATGCGAAAAGCTCTCATGTCCTGTAACTGAGCTTCTAAACTGTAAGACTGAACTAAAAACTTTCTTTTCCCTCCCAGAACCCCGGGGAAAGGGGCGGAACTAAAGAACTTAACGATGATAGGCAGGTGGCTGCCCTATGGGAAAAGCTCTCACGTCCTGTAACTGAGCTTCTAAACTGTAAGACTAAACTAAAAACTTTCTTTTCCCTCCCAGAACCCTGGGGAAAGGGGCAGAACTAAAGAACTTAACGATGATAGGCAGATGGCTGCCCTATGGGAAAAGCTCTCACGTCCTGTAACTGAGCTTCTAAACTGTAAGACTAAACTAAAAACTTTCTTTTCCCTCCCAGAACCCTGGGGAAAGGGGTGGAACTAAAGAACTTAATGATGATAGGCAGGTGGCTGCCCTATGGGAAAAGCTCTCACGTCCTGTAACTGAGCTTCCAAACTGTAAGACTGAACTAAAAACTTTCTTTTCTCTCCCAGAACTTAACAATGATAGGCAGGTGGCTGGCCCGATGGCCGCAGCCTGGAAGGAACCACCCAATTGCAAAATGCATGGGCAAAACAAACATATGCATAGAAAGGAAATTTAGGCTTCTGGTACAGCTGTACCATCACAGGGTGCATACTCTTAGCCTACTCTTCCAGCTCTAGCATGACAACACACTTCATAGCAACGGTGGCCACTTTACCTTGTTCTCTTCGGGGATGAAGAGGACGTGGAACGTCGACGGCATGCCAGGCGCAACCTTGTTGCACACATCATTGGGGCTGATGACTTTGAAGTAGGGCGAGCTCTCCAGGACGACTTTCACCAGCCGCGGGATCTGTGGGGAAAGATATGTAAACTGGGGAAGCTGGAAGCACTGCCATTGAGGTCAAATGCAAAACTCCCTGCCTTCAAGCTGAACTGACCTGCAGCAGGGGGTTCCTCAGTTCTCCAATGCCCGTTTGGGCCAACCGCATGAACGTGGCCACAGCAGCAGCTGCAACTCAGAAGCCTTCTCATTTCTTAGCTTTTCCCCTTCCTAACATTGTAACTAATCCCCCCCATAAAAGTATCAATTAATTGTAACCTATCTCCCCTCCATAGTGTTACTTTGTGTCCTTTTACTGCCTCAAACTTATCTTTCCATAAACTCTCCTCTCCCGGGCTGCAGATGACTGCTGACCCTCCTGGAATGCAATTTTCGCGTCCTGGGAAGGCCGAAACTGCGCTCCCTTAAACCGCGGATACGGAAACCCCCTCGGGGGCCTGTATCCACGGGTCGACGGATCGCTTCCAAAATGGTGTCAATCTTCTCCTGGGAGAATTCTAAGACTAATGACTACCCCTCCCGCCCCAATAACTTTTTTGTTCCTAAAACTTCAACCTGGAGCCCAGCTGTTTTTCCAAGGACGTTGCCTCATTGCCACCATTTGGTGGATGTCCAGGGAGCCTGCTGATCTTGGGCAACTGTCACGGTCACCCCAGAGGAAGCCCATCCCCTATGTGTATGTGTGTTTATATGAAAATATGAAGGAAAAAGCCACTGTTTCATAAAACCAGCAACTCTCATGGCTCAGGAAGTCCCTTCATGACTCCTGAGCTGGTAATCCCTTAACAAAAGGTTTCACCAAGCCCACTTGCATGGACAATAAGAATAAATGGCTCTTATCAGACCAGATCTTGGAGGGAAAAAGGCTAGACCATCTGGAAAGATAAGACCTATGGACATTTGAATCACTCAACACAAAGGGTATCTTCTTCCTATCTGCGAGTAACCAGGAATTTCACCACAACCCTCCTGCTTAGATACACTCTACCTCTGTTCATGCCCAGTGTTTATTTTAATTTTTTTAATTTATTGCATCTGGCCCGGTCATAAGGTTTTAAATTCTCTGTGATATTGTTTATATGTGAGTTATATTAATTGTACTGTTTTATTTCATTGCTGTTTTATTTTTACTTATGTTTTGTTGGGCTTAGCCTCATGTAAACTGCCTCGAGTCCCCTTGGTGAGATGTGGCGGGGTATAAATAAAGTTATTATTATTATTATTATTATTATTATTATTATTATTATTGTGTCAATCTCCAAAACCAATTTCAGCTTCATCCATGAACCCCATATCCCAGGACTATAAGACAAAGGATCTAGCCCTTCGAGGCTAGACAAAAAATGATGATTCAAAGGACCAAAACAACAACTCTGATCTGACTTGAGAGCTTAAGATATCGTTGGGTCATTTGGCAAACACTGGTCACCCTAATCCTAACAATTAGACATTTCTTCATTTGTTTCCCTGTTGCCCACCTCCCTTCCCCCTCATTGGCTGAGTGGCCAAAGCAGGGCTTAGGCCACCATTGGCTCTCCTGATGGCTTGCTGACATCACAGCCAATCATCACAAAGCCAGCTCAGAGGGGGGGGGGGAGAGAGAGGTAAGCATGGGAACGTTTGAATCTGAAGGCTATAAATATTGTATCTTTTTGCCCAATGGGTATGTCGCTTTTTGGCAGGCTACTGCAATCGTCATCCTTTCCAGGTGGAATGAAATAAATACTTCGGTGGCTTTCTCTTCAACTTGGTGAGATTTATTCTGTAATATTGGCTTCTATTGTTGATGTGTTTTGAAAATGTGTACTGTAGATTTCAAAGTTTGTATGTTTAAAATGCAATGCTGTGTGCCGAGAGAATTCCTGTGTGGAAATGCTTAATTGTACCATGAAGAGACTCGGCATTCCTAGAGAGGTCATAAATCTTAGTACAGAGAGCAATGGACGCAGCGTAGTGCGTTGTACATCATACGTCACTCTGGAATGCAGGAGGTGTGGACTAATGCTGATAGCAACGTGTTTTTGTTCCCAATGTAGCCAATGAATGGAGAGGAAGCAAGTTTTACGATCTGCTTAGCTTCTTGGGTAAATAGTTGTATAATAAATTAGTTTATAGCCTAAGGAGACTGTGATTGGTGTGTTTCCTTGCCTTGCTGTGTGGAGAAGCCATTAACATCTCTTTCTCACAATGGCTTGGGCCTATCCACAGCCATGCTAAATTTCTCAACAACACCCGTTCCAACTACGTGAAAGTTCTTTGAGTACCTTGTCATTGTTGCGCAGAATCAGTGGCACTTGGTAGGGCTCACAAGGGATGAAATTCTGGAAAATGACCTCCGACGGGAACGGCTGGAAGAGGCTCTGGTCCAGATCAACCGAAGAGAACTGAGGAGACAAAGAGGGATTGGAACAGGGCAGCACTATTTCACAGGGAGAGGCAACTACCGGCTGTTAGGAATTGTGGGAGTTGAAGTTCAAAACACCTGGAGGGAGGGCCAAAGTTGGCCCAGGCCTGCTTTTAGGTACAGCCATATGCCATTATAGCACCCTGGTCATATTTTCCCAGTCTCTCTGCCCAGCAAAAGGGAGACAATACTGTTTTGCTAACCAGAAAGCTTTGCTCATTGCGCGGCAGGGAATCCCTGGCAGGGACAAGGCATATATCTATGCAAAATCACACCTCCTCACAGCTAGGAATCCCTTTGCCAACCTGGATGCCTTCCATATCAAGGGAGTGCCAACGGGGAGCCATTTGCACGGCTTGGAAACAAGCCCTTGACAAATCCTCCTGGAGCTCCTGATCTCTTAAGCATTTCAATGACGCTTCCCTTAGTTACCCATTGAGCGTGAACCCATTAACACACGCATTCCCGTGCATCTCATCCAGTAGTAGAGATGCCGCAGTCTGCCTTATAGGTCCTTACAGAGCTTGTTGTAAAGCTTCTTGTGCTATATGACATAATTTGCACATTATGGAAAATCTATATAAATAAAAATGTAAGGTTCGTTTGTGGGATTAACATAACTCAAAAACCACTGGAGGAATTGACACCAAATTTGGCAGCAAAACACATTCTAATCCATAAAAACCATAAAAAATGAAGGGGAAATAGCTTAAAACTCCCCAAAAAGAAAAATACCTTGTGCTCAAAAGCACCTCTCCCCATTGCGTGAAAAGAATGAAGCACCAACCATTGTGAGGGAAGAGAAGCCTCGCCATGGAGTCCCTTTCCATGCAGGAAGGCAGAGTCCTTTTTCTTTTGGGGAGGGGAGGGATTGAGGAAAGGAAAGAGGGAAGGAAGGAGAAGGCCTGGCCCAACGGAGGGGTGGGGGCTTGGTGAGGCAAGCCCTGGCAGCAGCTGGAGCCACCACAGAGGATCCATGAGGCCCACGTGGCTACCAGGCAACTCTTCCCCCAAGACCAGAGGATTGCAAGGCAAGCCTGACTGCACAACGTTGGGTGAAGGGAGGATGTGAATCATGAGAAGGCCAGCAACTCTCCCACTTGGGCTCCACAATCCCCCTTTCACACACACACCCCAAACCCCCTTTTAAAAACCCTTACAAACTGTCCTGGAGGAAGGAGGGGAAAGAAATGGAAAGGAGAGAAGAAAGGAAGAAAAGAAGAGAAGATCATGAATGGAAGAAAAGGTAGAAGGAAAGAAAGGGGAAGGAAGGGAAAGGAGGCAGGGATGGGAGAGGAAAGGAAGGGAAGAGGCAGGGAAGGAACAAAGAAAGAAAGAAAGGAAGGAAGGAAGGAAGGAAGGAAGGAAGGAAGGAAGGAAGGAAGGAAGGAAGGGTAGAAAGAGGTAGGGAAGGTTGGCCACAGCAACGCATGGCAGGTACAGCTAGTGTTACATAAGTCTTATTAGTCTTGGCCATTCCACGGTGAAGGTCAGCTCTATCTCTTAGGCAGAGTTGGACAGTTGCTTTGGGCAGGAGATGCTGTTGGGACGGGAGCCTGGCTGTTCCCTCGGCGAGAGGATGGAGATGCATGCGGCTCCCTAAACTCCCCTCAAGATGCCCTGGGGAAAGCTTGCCTATTTCAAGTGTTCAGGTAACCTTTTCTGTAGGAGGGCAAGAGAGCGGTTCTCCCTCTGTCTCTCCTTCCAGCTGAGAGCCGGCCAAGCTGTGCTGGAAGAGCGGCCTTTCTGGCCGGCCTCCAGGATCCGCTGGCAGATGGGGCTTTGCTGGAAGAAGGGCAGCTCGGCCTGCGCAGAGGGAATGGCTCATGCTCAGCCCTGGGCAGCTGGCACCTTGATTAGCATAAAATGGCCTGACATTGCCTAGAGCAAACTTTTGTTGAGAGGTGGTTAGATGTCCTTGTTAGTTTCCTCTCTGTTCTTGTGCTGTTGTAATTGTGATGAACCAACCTGGACACAGCATATTATTTGAGAGCACAGAAATGCTGGACCACTCTCACAACCACCATGTCAGACTACACAGAGAAGCCATTGAAATCCACAAGAAGCAGGTGGACCATTTCAACAGAAAGGAAGAAACCATGAAAAGGAACAAAATCTGGCTACCAGTATTAAAAAAAACTCTAAAATTACAACAGCAAACCAGCAGAGAGGAAACAATCAGGGACATCTAATCACCTCTCAACAAGATGGATGGATGGATGGCATCCTTGAAGTGACTGGATTGACCTTGAAGGAGCTGGGGATGGTGACAGGGAGATCTAGCGTGGACTGGTCCATGAGGTCACCTAGAGAAGACAATGATGTTGGGGGGAAAGGAAGGAAAAAGGAAGAGGGGCCGACCAAGGGCAAGCTGGATGGATGGCATCCTTGAAGTGACTGGATTGACCTTGAAGGAGCTGGGGGTGGCCATGGCTCACAGGGAGCTCTGGCGTGGGCTGGTCCCTGAGGTCACCTAGAGACGACAATGATGTTGGGAAAAGGGAAGGAAAAAGGAAGAGGAGCCGACCAAGGGCAAGATGGATGGATGGCATCCTTGAAGTGACTGGATTGACCTTGAAGGAGCTGGGGGTGGCCATGGCTCACAGGGAGCTCTGGCCTGGGATGGTCCATGAGGTCACGAAGAGTCGGAAACGACTGAACGAATGAACAACATCAAAGGGATGGGCTATACTATGAGTCGGGACAGCCCAGACAATCAAGGAAAAGGACTATAACATAGCACTATAAATACACATGAAATGAAATCCCAATCCTGACGTCGAGCATGCCCCCCCCCAACAAGGGATGGTGACTTATAGTTCTGCAAAGGACAAAGGTACCAGACTGCACAATAGGGGTTCAGTCTTGGTCAATTTGCCAAGGCCTTAACAACAATGAGGACCTCATGAAACTTCGGGAATAGCTAGACCTTGGGGTCTCTGCCTCTCTCGGGAGCTGTAGTTCTCCAAGGACGGGGAGCAAAGCTTGTTTCCAGAGACACCGGGTCCATTTGGGCCACTCAAGAACTCCTGCCAGGACCTTTGTGCAACACCCTTGCGTTTTAGCCACCCCCTATGGACACTCTTTCCCCCTACATGGACAAACCTTATGAAATCTTGCCTTTTATGAACTTTAGGTGTATGAAATGTGTTTTCTGATTTCTTTGTGTGGCCGAAGCCTTTCCCCTTTTCTTCTGACCTTTGTTTCCCCTATATACATGAAGAAACTCCACCAAAGGGACTACAAAGCCCTAAACATTCCAGGAATTTTTTATCCACAACTTCCTTTTGCATGAACAATAGCCTGGGCAGCTGGTGGCCCTCGGAGGAATTGTCCAGCCCTCAGCTTGCCCCTTTGGCAAAAATCTTAATCATATTTCTTCCTGAAGGACAAAAGGTCCTCGAAAAAACCTTTTGCCTTCGCTCTGATTATTCATTCCACTCAAAGCACACTAGATCAGGCTGGCTTGAGATTTCCCCTTTGTCTCGCCGGCCGCATGGCATGGCATTTCCTTTGTTTACTCCTTTCCCAGATTCCTTTGTGCTCCCTCATCCTGCCTCCATCTCTCCTGATTGGCTGTCGCCACCAGGTGGCAGAGGTCTCCCCACTGGTTCCTACGGACCACTGGAGCCCATCGCCCAATCATGGCAGGGAATAACAGGGAAGCCGGGGCGGGGAGTTTGAACTCTGCAACTTTGAATTTGCTATAAATATGACTGTATTGGTGTACTCCCCTCATGCTTAGCTTTGGCGAATTATTGCAGCTTTGCATCCGTTTCAGCTGAATTGCATTAAACATCGATGGCTTTTCTTCAACTGGTGAGACTTTTCATTGGGAAATCAGGGAAAAATATGGGATGCTTCTCTGTCTCGCCAGGGAAAAAGAACTCTTTGATGAGTCTAATTGGTCTCTGCCTCCTGGCAAAGACCCCTAAATTTTAGCTCTAGATCAATCCTAGGCCTGCTTATATTGATCTCAGTATGGCTTACTCCCAAGGAGATGCTTTGACCTTAGACACACTTACTTGAGGGAGACTTGTCCTTCTGAACTCAGCTGGACATCCCTTCAAGTAAACCTATCCAAGGCCAGCTTGCTTCGCTTTGGAGAAGGGGAGCTTTGGTAGAAGGAGGGGAGACTTCATCAGCGAGGGGAAAGGGCGGCTACCTTCTGGTGTGAGGTCTCGCTCATGTCCAAGAGCTGCACAATCCGGGGCCGGCGCATCTCCCGAGTGCAGGCCAGCCTCTGCTCCGTGGTGAGGGACATCTCCTTCAAGAAGGCCGATGGAGTCAACTGTGAACCAATCAAGACAACAACATGAGTTTCCAAAGGCTTTCCTTACCAAACCCAGCAGAACAAGACATTGCTGCCAAGGAAGTCCTTCCTCTCCACTGATTTCCTAAACTCTTAAAACAGATACATATCGGGTTCCGCTTCTGCTTCTCCTTGGGGAATTTCTATCGGAAAGAGCATCGGATTGCAAACCATTTCGGAAGTCTGCAAGATTTCCCGCTCTCGTGTTGCCTGAAGGAAGCAGTTAAAGCGCAAAGCGGTGCAAATCCAGCCCTCTTTCAGAGAGAGTTGGGTGGGAATAAGGATCTTTAGAGGTAAATAAACAAACACGGATTTTCCGCATGCGTTGGGAGAATATAAGATCTCATTGTTGTTGCTGTGTGCCTTCAAGTCGTTTCTGATTTGTGGTGACCCAAAGGCGAATGTCACACACTCTCTGAGGTCGAGAGAGTGTGACTTGCCCAAAGCAAACAAATGGGTTTCCATGGCTGAACCGGGACTCCAGAGTTAGTCATTTAATATGTTTTTTTTACAGAACATTTAATATGTTTTTTTTTATATTCCTCACTTTTTTCAGTGAATATAAAAGGTAAAGGTAGTCCCCTGGCATTAAGTCCTGTCGTGTCCGACTCTGGGACTCTGGTGCTCATCTCCATTTCTAAGCCGAAGAGCCGGCGTTGTCCATAGACACCTCCAAGGTTATGTGGCTGGCATGACTGCATGGAGCGCCTTTACCTTCCCACTGGAGCAGTACCTATTGATCTACTCACATTTGCATGTTTTTGAATTGCTAGAAGAAGCTGGGGCTGACAGAGGAAGCTCACGTCACTCCCCAGATTCGAACATGCAACCTGTCATCAACAAGCTCAGCAGCTCAGCGCTTTAACCAGGGGCTCCATATTATATATTCTTCATATATATATATATATATATATATATATATATATATATATATCCTTCACTTCCAAAAAACACTCTGCGGCTATTTCCCACTTCTCCAGGGATGAGACCAATTGGGTGCCAAGAAACCTACCGGAGCGTCCTTCTTCTTCTCTTCTCTGACCAGCTTTGGAATGCGAGGGGCCACCACTTTGCTTTGACAGCCATCCAGCAATGAGGAGGGACACGGCGGTTTTGGCACCTGGTCTGTGATCATCTTGGCTAAATCCGTCAGAGCCTGTGGAGGGAAAACCACGAAAGAGTTAGGACTTCATCCCATGCGATTAGTAAAGTGTAGAGGTTTGTAGTCATGCCATCTAGCGTTGCAAATGCTCCGTTTGCAACTTAAGCAAATGATTTTCCTAATCAGGGGCAGCTCAAGCCATTACGCAAAGTAAGCCTTCACAGTAGAGTTGATTTTGCCCAGAGGCACTCTTGGGGGAAAATAGACCTTGACATATGTGAGTTGTAGTTACTGGGATTTATAGTTCACCTACAATCAAAGAGCATTATGAACTCCACCAATGATGGAATTGAACCAAAGATGGCACACAGAACTCCCACAACAAACAGAAAATATATATCAGTGATTGGTTGGGGGGGGGGGGCACCAAAATACTGTTTGCTTACTGTTGAAAATTACCTAGGGTCACCTCAGGTTGTAACACAAAGCAATGTCCACACAAGAAATAAAAGCAATCCAAGACAGCATTAATCCAGACAGGAATAAAACAGGAATCAAACAGGAAGCAAAGACAATCCAAAAGGCTAAAAAAAACTCCACAGAAACAAGACCCCTTAAACCGGATTTCCATGGCACAAGAACTTGGTTTCCAAACGATGCCTGATCTAACAGGTTTCCCCTTGAAGCAAACTTTATATCCCCAAACTCAGAAATTGGTTTCATTTCCCCCCACATTTTCCCTAATAAATACTGAGTTTGCTGTTGATCCTGGCTAATCTCCAGCCGCCTATTCTTCCACTCCCTATCTGGCTGCTCATTAAAATTCCCAGGCTTCAAATTGTTTTCCAAACCCAAATCTTGAAAGCTCACAGAAAGAGGGAGTGAACTATCATTGCGAGGCCCAGCAGGGATATTCTCATGAGAAACTGCCTTTTGCACTGGGGCCTCTCTGTCATTGTATGAAAATCATTGATCAAACCATCTCCATCTTGTACCTCAGCCTCGGCAACATCATTCAAAGCACATATACACAGACTGGGCCACAGCAATGCATGGGATGGCTAGTAAATTAATAATAATGGATTTACTTTTACAAGAAAGGAGATTCTGAGTAAACATCAGGAAGGAATTTTGACGTTTGACAAGAAAACTTGACATCCTCGAAAGGTGAGCGTCAGCCAGCAAAATGTGTGAGCGGCTGGTTTCTTGCATCCACGGGTTGTGGACCAATCTTTGTTATTGCCTGCCAATTGCTTTCCTTTGATGCCCGCATTGATAGGCAACCAAGTAGACCATATCAAAGGAAAGCTACCTGGAATAGGTCTTCAGATTTTTGTTTTTGCTTGCAACAGGTTGGTTTTGTGTTCTGGTGCAAAGCAGAAAAGTTATCTTCCCTCCCTTTAACTTTTTTTGTGCATAATCTGCAATGCTGCCCTTGAAGGCTCTCCATCCTTCCTTCTTTGGGCTGAAGAGTATTTTATTCGGATTAGAGCGAGGGTCGGCAGAAACGATCTCAATCAGACCCCAGTCTCTCTGTCCATTTGCCAGGAACTTAGTGGGCTTACTGGGAGAAGAAGCCCTTGCTTCGACTGTTCAGTATTCTGACCGGGATCCAGAAGTTGTTCGGAACTCATTCAAAGGGCTGCACAATGTCCTTGCAAATATGATCTCCGTCAAGCATGAAATTGCAACGGCCGCTCAAGAGTATTATCCTGTGGAAAATTAGGGCTACCTATTAAGCTCCCGGTGCCAAAAACACTCTACAATATAAACAAGAACTTGGGAAGCCATCGACATTCAACATATTTGAAAACTGAAAGCTGCGGCCCTACAGACACACTCGCCGAGATCTAAGCGGTTGCTGAAAACAGGGAGATTCCAATCTCAGCAGACGTTTTGTAATAGGGAATGCAATCTAACACAACAAATCAAGTTGCAAATCAGAGCATTCCGAAGTCGAACATGACTCCCCCCCCCCCATAAAAGATAGTAACTTATAGTTTTGCTAAGGACAAGGACACCAGACTGGATAATAAGGGTTAAGCCTTGGTCAATTTGCCAAGACACTAACAGCAACAAGGACCCTTTCCATGTTAGATAGTGTGTACATTTAATCAAGGTTTTATGCCCTAGGTTTCATATATCGCCGAAGGTAGCACATTTATTACTGAGAAACCCCTTCCCTTTACACTGATGTGCTCTCTTGAACTTCTATGGGACTCTGGAGGCGGCGGGGGGGATACATGGATAGGACTTGAAAAGGATCGTGACCTCTGGCCTCCGTCCTGAAGAATCAGGAGAGAGGGAGGCAGGACGAGAGGGAAACAATTGATTGTTGAGAGGATTATGGAGGTAGAAAATGTCCATGCAGCCAGCAAGTCCTGGGGGGGGCTGCGAGCCAGCCTTTCCTATTGTCATTGAGTGGCTGCAATAAATATTGATTGTCTGGCAAACCTGCCATAATCTGGATTTTTTAAGTGCTGAGAGAGGAACAATGAGGGAATTTTGGCTGTGGTTTCAGTGGATAAAAGTTGAATCAGTAAGAGATTAGGGCAAAGTGTGGCTTTCTGAAGGCTTCCTTTGTCCTACTAATTTATGATCATAAATGCTAAGTGACCGCTTCCTCTGGGGGGTCAATTCCAAGGTCAGAGGTCACGGTCCTTTGTTATTGTCCATGCAAATAGTGTCTTTTGATAAGGATCTTTTTCAAATGGAGAGTTCCTTCTTTCCAGGGTCACACAGGGGTGGCTGCCTTGTATTTTTATACATTTTTCAATAAAGGGGAATTGGGCAAAAGGGTCAGGAAAAGGTCAGCTACACAGGGAGGGATATAGAAATATAGAAATCATGTTATAGAAAACATACCCACTTATCCCTCCCACCAGAGTCCCATAGAAGTTCAAGAGAGCACATCAGTGTAAAGAGAGGGGATTTCTCAGTAATAAATGTGCTACCTTCTGCTATATATGAAACACAGGGCATAAAACGTTGATTAAATGTACACACTATCTAACATGGGAAGTGTTGGGGTTCAGCCTCCGTGTGAACCTGACCCTCATCCTCCGTGTGAACCTGAACCTGATTCTCTGATTGTATTTCCTGATGCAACTGAACAGGCTACTGAACATGTATTTTTCCCTGATGGTTTGGAAACTGTTGATTCTGAAGGCAGTGGCTTGGAAAGTGAAACTACACATCCTGATGAGAATGTTTCAGAATCAAGCGGTGATAACTCTCCAGAGGAGCTAGCACCTGCCTTTTTTAATGAGGATAGAAAAGCACAGATTTGGAAAAACAGGAGTGAATCACAGAGTCTGCGAAGGTCAAGTAGATTAAAGGAAAAGGAGGCTTCAAAGCCTGGAGGCGTGTCCCAAAACAGTTTCTTTAGTTTAAAGTGTCTTCCCCCGGGCTGTCTCGTTAGATCAAGCATCGTTTAGACTGAGGCAGTACCTTGGCAGATTTCCCGGTTCCCATGGCCTGCATTCCCAGAGGCTTCTAGTTTCCAAGTACGGTTAGTGAGATGCTAACAGGTTCCAGGTTTTTATAGTGTTGTTTTTGGAATTTTGATCTAGTTCATAGATATTCCTGACTACTGAATTTTACTGTGGCTTTTTGGATTTTGTATTTTCCTCTATTTTGTAACCATTTTTCATCAATAAAAAAGGATTGTTTTTTCCTACAGTCAAGTGTGGTGGATTAATATCTTATGGACTTGTTTCCTGATCTGGGTTGCAACAGGAAGGGTCCTTGTTGTTGTTGTTGTTGTTGTTGTTGTTGTTAGTGTCTTGGCAAATTGACCAATGCTTAACCCTTATTATCCAGTCTGGTGTCCTTGTTCTTAGCAAAACTATAAGTTACCACCTTTTATGGGAGGGTCATATTCGACTTCATTATTGTTGAACTGTGTGGTGTTTGGGTGCAGAGGAGTCACACAGGTAGCTGGGCTACAACAGTCCCATGCAGAGGTGATGAAGGCCTGTGCCATCCCAGCCAGGCGACACACTCGTTTTAGCTTCTTTCATCTACTTGAATAAAACAAACCCTAATTGAATAATAGGAATGTATATGTGTGCTTTCCCAGAGGCGGCCCTAGGTAATTTTCAATGGTAAGCAAACAGTATTTTGGTGCCTGCCCCCCCCCCCCCCCAACCAATCACTGATATATATTTTCTGTTCGTGGTGGGAGTTCTGTGTGCCATATCTGGTTCAATTCCATCATTGGTGGAGTTCAGAATGCTCTTTGATTGTAGGTGAACTATACATCCCAGTAACTCCAACTCACATATGTCAAGGTCTATTTTCCAATATAAATGGGTTCCTGAATGAAGTGCATACAACAAAAATACCACTTATATAAGATAAACAATAATAAAATTCAACAAACAGTATATAAACATGCTGCGAGATACTCGCAGCCAGAACTCAACATAGAGCAGAGTATCATATACCACTGAGCCAAAAATCTGTATCTCCCGAGGAGAACAAATTCTCAAGTGTATAACCTTTCCACCAGAAGAAGGCCTGAAGTAGGACGAAACTGGTCGTGGACGTCTGATCTACAAGCTACTCATAAGAAGATACGACTGTACTAAAATTTGCACCATATTGTTTGTTGTCGCTGTGAGGTTGAACAGTGCAGCGTGTTTATATACTGTTTGTTGAATTTTATTATTGTTTATCTTATATAAGTGGTATTTTTGTTGTATACAAGGTCTATTTTCCCCCAAGAGCGCCTCAAGAGCACCCCTGGGCAACATCAACTCTACTGCAAGTGCTTACTTTGCGTAATGGGTGAGCCGCCCCTGGGTGCAATGGGATCACGCAGGTAGCTGGGCTGCAACAGTCCCGTGCAGAGGGGATGAAGGCCTGTGCCATCCCAGCCAGGTGACACACTCATTTTAGCTTCTTTCATCTACTTGAATAAAACAAACCCTAATTGAATAATGGGAATGAATATGTGTGCTTTCCCCACTCTTGCAAAGCCCGAGCCCCCGCCAACCGAGCCTGCAAAAGCCGGGCAGATAGAGGCCTCCCTCTGCTAATCGGTT